TTCAAAACAAATTGAAAAGTGATAACAGTCCTCTACTTAACAAAAGAAGAAAGGACATAAATAAAAGCAGGCACTTTTTATCACAAAGGCCCCTGTTTATGGCATCAACATTTTGCAGTATTATTGAATTCTAAGACATTAGTTTCTGCGCCAAAAGTAGTATTGCAATGCCAATTAATGAGACAAGAAACAACTGGAAATGACCTTTAATTTGAAGAGGTAAAAAGAAAATGCTCAAAAAAATACCCAACATCCATTATCACAAAAGTATACCACAAGACTTCTAATCCTGCCACTTTCAAAGTAGAGGATCAGGATAAAATAATTACTAAGACCAAAAAAAAAAAAAAATTATTAACAAATTTAGCACCCAAAATTTTAAGGATGAAAATGAAAATCCCTACTTGAATTTAGAACATCCCCTAGTAAAGAAGACAAAAAAATAATATACAGTTTAAAACTCCTGTACAAAAATAATTAATGCAATTTTCTGCAATTGTTAGAACAGTTTAACATGGTTCAAAACACAGAAAAAAATAAAACAACAGCAAATTAATTGCAAGCATAAATCTTACATGGGTAAAATGAATGGGAAAATATCTGCTCAAAATCTCAAAAACATCATGAGCAGAACTGGCAAGGGGACCTGATGGATCTGGAAATAGTTGTGGCAGAACCTTTACAATGTGAAATGTTAACATTAAGCAGTGGGGATCCCTTTCTTCATCAATAGCTTCACAAATTCCATAAATTAGGAGATCGCCCTAGACCAAAAATCAGCAGTGTGATCATTATAAGAATACAAAAGGCTATTAACATGAGTGATGCAGATTCTCTTTATTGGCTGATGAGGTGGAAGGCCAAGACAAAAAGCTCCCTCAAAAGCATCATAAAGACAGCACTTTTTCTAACATTTTATCGCTCTATAAACCCAAAAACTCTATAGTCTCATTATCAACCATTTTCCATTGAATTTCCAACAAACAACAAGGCTACTATTTGATGTTTTGATGTCTCTGTACCACCTCATTTTAATCTCTCTTGTATATACTTAGTTTCTATCACCAAATAGGTGTCATATACTTCCATGTCTAAGTAAATCCTATTTCATGTCATCTAATTCCGACATTATTGCCTAGCTCTATCACAATATGAAGACAAACTAAACACTTTGAACTTCTGGTAGTTAACAGAGCTCAAGTTGAATATAAAACAAGTAATACTAGTCCTAAGTCTCCCATCTAGTATGCAGAAATGCTACGAAAGAGGGAGAGGGAAAACAATTCAGTTAAGGAGCAAGACAAGATTAGAAATAATACCAGCGAAGCAACAGCATTAGCATAGCGTTCCAGTAGACATTCCAGAATTTCAAAGCAAAGCTGCAAGAACAGTAACATAGAAGTTAAAATGAAATAGCAAACATTCTAATGGTAACTTAGAAGGCACCTAATTCTCGGTTTAGGAAGTTGTGATTCCTGCATGCAAATGTTTATGTTTTTTTGTTGAATTATATATATATCAAATGAAACTTGCCTTCCGGTCATATTGCCCTAAAGATTGCACTTGTAAATTCTGCAGATAGGACTGTGCCACTGCTTTTGCATCAGTTCCACTGACCATACCACCTGCACTTTTCCTCCTCAGGAGGGCCAAGCAACCCACAAGTGCACCACGTAAAGCCATCCAATCTGCCTGATTTAGCAAAATATCATATATATAATTCTAAAACTTACATAGACGGCATAACACAATAAGCATAAGCATGAAAAAAGCTCCGGAAAAAAATGAAAAAAAGAATGAGAGCATATGTTGTGGCATCATCAAGCTT